TCTTCCCCCTTTCTCTTTTTCATTTAAAAAAAAAAAAAAAAAAAAAAAGCCTTGCGGGGTGTGGTGGGTTTTTTGTTTTTCTTTGTTTTTCTTTTTTGTGATAACAGATAAAATTAAAAATCCATGATACAAAAGACAAGAACATGAGTTTTGGGGTAAATGTAGGCCTATTGCAAACAAATTTGATTTTCATATTAAATTCCACGTCAGAAATAGCCAAAATATCCTTTGCACAGTTGGCTCAAATGGAAGGAAACAATTTTCAAATAAGTGTTTGCCTGTATCAGAGTTTCAAGGAGGTGAGTTTTGAAGATGATGAGCGGAATGAACTTAAACTAAGATGAAAAATCTCATAAATGGGATAAATAGTTTAATCCTTCATGCTCTGATACAGAGCTGAAGAGATGATTTAAGAATTTGACTACGGTTATACTTACTAAGAAACTGACTTCTGTAAAACGGTATTGTTATGTTTTAATTTAACAGAACAGTTTTTCTATGCAGATCTGTCACTTAGTTAAGGTCAACTACACTGTAATCAGCTCGTGAATGCAAAGCACTGCTATGTTCTAGAGACGGTAAATTGTGTTTAAATGGATTTGTTTTCTCCTAGGGCTTAGGAAAGACGATTCAAGCTATTGCATTTCTGGCATATCTGTACCAAGAGGGCAATAAAGGTCCCCACTTGATAGTTGTGCCGGCTTCAACATTAGGTGAGTTATGAGCTTTGCAATTATTTGGTTTAAAAAAAAAAAAAAACACACCATGGACAGAATGTGAAAGGAAGATAAGTTTTGTGAAAGAAAACTTAAATTTTCTTCTGGTAATATTCAATTCCTTAGATGATTTGAGTTGGAATGCAAAGCCTACGGGAGGCATGCTTGTTCTGAATTAATTAGACCTAACTTTTTTTTTAATATGCTGTATATGCTTCACAGAACAGTTGCTTGTTATAGTCTAAATTTGTTTAGCAAAGTACTGAATGTTGGCTGTAATTCCTGGTCTTCAGGCTGTGCATAGGGATAGGTTTTATTGCATTAAAAATGTTCAGTCCTTTTTCCCTGCTCTCCTTTCCCCCTTTGCTACACAGAATGTCTTTCAAAACAGAGCGACATCCTACAGGAAGAATATCGTGGAGTTAAAATATATGTCAGCAAAGCCAGTGAGGAGTTTTAGTAGAGACTAGTGCTCTCCAGAATTAGATTTGGTTTTGTTGAATGATTATAACAAAGAGGAAATAGCAAATTTAATTAAAAGACAATATTCTTAATGTCAAGTAGATATTTGGGCTTTGGTGTCTTCTAGCAAGTCAGAAGAGCTTCTGATTGTTCAACATCTGTTTTAAATTGCTGTTTTCAATGTGCTTTTAGAATGCACTAGAATCTGTTCTTCTAAATAACTTTTAAAAATGCTTTTTGCTCACACCTGAGGCATATAATGGAGTGTATGTGTGTGGGAGAGAAGCTAGTTGTAGAGGCTATAGCAGGTTGGCCTAGGATTATTAATATTCAGTAGTGTCAAGCAGGTAAAGCTTGGAAATTGCAGTCTACCTGTGGCTTTTCTGAAGCTCTTCTGGAGAGGTTGCTTCATCCACAGGCTGGGTCAGCCCTGGGCATAGGTCAAGTGCCAGTAACAAAAAAACACCCTTCTGCCATGGTTTGCGATCAGTTTTTGTGTTCGTTGGAGACTAACCCTGGCATGCCATGTACTGTCATGCAAATCTCACTCTGAACTGGTAAAAATTATTGGTGGCTGCTTTTGGTGGCTGCACACCTGGAATGGATCCTGTTATGAAACTTCTTTGCCAGTTCCCAGAGGCGTTTTGTCTCTTGATGAAACATTTCTAAATGAAAATAGTTAGACATTAACTGATTACTTTTTCGGGAATTAATGTCCAAGGAAGACGTTATGCTGAAGAGTTAAGCGTTGTATTAAGCTCTTGTATTTTAGGCCCAGTTAGATGGTTATCGTAAACCTTGCAGGTTCCATTTGAATAGGATTGTCAAGTGTAAGCTAGTAAGTAGTAACAAGAGTCACTTAAGAAAGCTTTAAGTTGTTTATTTTGAATTGCTAAACTAAACTTTTGAAGCCTTCTGACAGCTGCATCTTTGGAGTCTGATGGTTCTTGCTCTGTCAGTTATTGGTTCTTTTATTTCTCTAAATGTGTTTCACAGCTTAGAAAGATGTTTCTTAACCTTCAGGAGGATTTTAAGGAGTTTGCGTTTTGAATCAGATTTTTGGTTTAACATTGAAGAAAGCTGGAATCAGTCACTGTGTTTGAAGTTATGTAAGACATAAAGTATTGTTGATTGAGGTGTTTTTAATGATGTCTTTATAGATAACTGGATAAGAGAAGTTCATCTGTGGTGTCCTGAACTGAATGTCCTTTTTTATTATGGTAAGGAATAAAATCTAGAAGTGAATCCAGTAATGGAGTTGGTTGCTTGTTCAGCCTAAGAAAGCATTACTTGCTCATGGAGCAGTGTTTTAAGATAACTGCTTTAATACAGATACTAAATGCCAAATGTTTTCTATGCTTTTGTATAATCTCTTTTTTTTTTTTAATGTATATTAAAAATTGCTACTAATTTTGTGTTGTGCTTTCATAGGATCTCAAGAAGATCGGAAACATCTCAGGGTGGACATTAATAATAAAGTTGTAGATTTCAATGTGATTGTAACCACGTAAGTACAGCAATTAAAATAACAAGTGAAATTTAGTTAACTTCTACTGGCCTCTAGTGGTGATATAAACATTGATAGTTCTCTCATGCTTGAATTTCACCAAAGAGCGTGAGGTTCGTTTTATTCTTCTTGTGTCTTGTTTGACAAGAGTCAAAACCTGTGGAATTATTTTTTTCACTGTCATTTTAATGATGCAGGTGTAAAGCATTCTGACCTGTCCTTCCTTTGCCTCTTGACATTTGGAAGAAGAGTAGCTAACAATGTTTAGAATTTGGTAGGATGGGAAGGGAACTTTGGTTTTGTCTTCAGGTAATGATAATAAGATAACTATTTGCCAGCAGTAAACTGTTCTGGTTGATTGCTTCTAGGTAGTATTACTTAGGCCACCTAAAGCTTCTTTATTCAGCTTTTACAATTACTGTGATAGCAGTATGTTCATATTAAACTTGCTTTTAATGTCTTTTTCTGATATATTCCTCTGACAGGTATAACTGTGCAATTAGCAGTTCAGATGATCGAAGTCTTTTTCGCAGGTTGAGACTTAACTATGCAATTTTTGATGAAGGTCATATGCTAAAGAACATGAGCTCTGTACGCTACCAGCACCTTATGACAATTAATGTAAGAGGATTACAGTTCTTGGGGTTTGGGGGTTAGGGAAGGAGGTCTGGAAAGTGGGAGGCTCCTATTTTGTCTTTTTGTAGTTATGGCCTGGAGGCTAATTATAAAGTTCCTATGTGCGTAGGGTTCCCGAAATTACAGAATGTGAGTGGATATAAGTGTTATTGTGGTTTATAGGAATGATCTGACTTTGGGAACTGTGTCGAGGAGATAAGTTTGCAAAAAAATGTCATTAACTTCTTACAGCGTTGTTGCTGAAAATCAGCCATAACTAGAGTTGTGTTAAGCAGGTTTTGGTATTATCCTGCAATAAAAATTGTAAAAAACTGCTATTCAGAAAACTCGGGTGACTTGTGCTGAAGTATTTTAGTATTTAAGGAGGTGCTCTGGCAGGACTTTCCAAGAAAAGGTAGCTTTAAAATTTTTTTTCTTATAGCTTGCTCACATGTTTTACAATTTGAATGTTTTGTTTTTGGTGTTGGCAAACTCGAATACTAGACAACCAATGCCTAAGTAGTAGTTTCAGCAGACATATCTCGTTTCTTATCCAAGGTGATCTGTTAAGCTTAACTTGCTGTATGCAGGTATTAACTACTAAGCAGTTGGCCAAAAATGCTTATGATGCCTGTTAAACTTGGGCTAAACTGAAGCCTCATTTCTTCAAGAAACGGAAGTTGAAATGGAAAAATGGGTGTGTTAGACCTGAGTCAGCAGCCTTCTGAAAAAGGGAAAACTTGAGTCAAGATCTCTCTCTAATTATTTTGGTTTAACCATTGTAGTATTTCTACAGTAATAATACACTTACTGCTTAAATTATTACAACTTATTTTTCAAGGTTACGTTTTCATTCAAAGCCCATTTAAAAAGCTGATCTTTAGGCCATAAAAACGTTCTTATACTTGTGGTTCAAAACTTAATGTCATGTTGTACTGTGTGACATTACAAAAGATGTGACATGGGAGCAACAGCTGGCACAACCACAACAAAAAAAACCCCAGTGTCCTGATAGAGCCAGGGAGGATTTTCTTACATTGGGGCCAGGCTATTTAAATGTTCTTAAACCGATATGTGATCAGTTCCCCACAGATCCCCAAACCATTTTGTTGGCTTCACCAGGAAGTTATTCCATGCGATTTAAATATTTTAACTTTAAAAAGTTAAAGGTTTTATTATCAGAATTAAACTGAGGTAATTTTCTCCCTTCTCCATAAGGTGTGTTGTTTCCCCCAGTATTTATTTTTAACCTTTTTAATTAGTGTTTCTCTTTACTATTTTCCACTTTGGACAAATAGGCAAAGAATCGCTTACTGCTAACAGGAACTCCGGTTCAAAATAATCTGTTGGAATTGATGTCTCTCTTGAATTTTGTCATGCCGCATATGTTCAGTAGTAGCACAAGTGAAATTCGAAGGATGTTCTCTTCAAAAACAGTAAGTATTATATATTCTCTTCCTGAAAGTATTTTTTCTGCTGTAAGCCCCATATTACTGCATAACTTCTGTCTTACTGCTGTCTTGTGGGAAACAGGTAATATGATTATGAAAATCTAGAATACAAAAAATGAAATATTCCCTTTCAGGTAAAAACATGCCATAATAGGATATCCCAGAATACTAATGATATTATTAGAGCTGTCTTTTTCTGGCTCTTTTTCTCCCCCCCACCCCCGCCTTCAAGTTAGCATAGTTAAGGTAGTATCATTACAGCTGGAAGATTTCACCCCTTAACTGAATTTTTGCAATATTTTCCTTAGAAGAATGCTGAAGAGCAAAGTGTATATGAAAAGGAGAGGATTGCACATGCAAAGCAGATAATAAAACCATTCATCTTGAGAAGAGTAAAAGATGAGGTAATATTTTTCTCTAAAATAAGGTTTCGTAGTATCAAAAAGCCTGATAATATGTGTGACTAATCAATACAATGCCAAATTTCTTCAGGGATAGTTTGTCTAGGAAGATCAAGAAACCTGCAGGAGCTTGGTATTATTGTAGTGCTCTGTCCCTAGCTTGTTTCCAGTGAATCTGCTTCACTCAGCGTCTGCTAGTTTTCATCTTGTGGGAGTTTTCAAGGAAGCGCTTGACCTGCTGCTGTGACTTTAGGTTTTGATGCTCATTATTTACTGGCTGTTTACACCTCTGAAAGATGATTTGTTGCACTGTTAAGTAGACCTCAACTGAGAGATGTTCCATGTTAATCACAAAAATGCACCTGACTTCACAGCAATGTGACTCCCCTTTCCTCTTCCTGCAAAAGAATAAGGCCGTGAATGTGCATGAATGTATTTGTGCACATGCACAGCTAGAAATGTGTTTGAAATTACTTTGCAATCATCAGAATATTTAATTTTCTCATTAAAATCCAAAAAGTGTTTGAATGTTTCTGTTTAAAATTGCCCCTATGTAAAAACGGGTAAAATTTGAGGAGCATCAGTAATAATTGGACGAGTGTTTGTTTTGCACGTTTAGTAGTTAGTGACTTGAAAAGAATTCTGATTAGCAGGAGAGCAGATTGCAAGTACTATGTTTTTGTGCAGTCTTGAAGTGCACAGATCATATTGATTGTTCTTGGGTTTTTTTTTTTTTGCTGATGAGTAATCCAAAACAAATTCTGAAATTTTAAGTAGAACTGCTAATTCTGATTTCTCAGTTGGCTAAGTGCCAGCCACTCAATGGACTTGGGGAGGGAAGAATGAATGGAGTAGCTTAAAAGCTGACTTGTTAGGTAGTACGATATTACTGACTGTTCAGTACAGTATAGTTTTTTACATGATGCGTGTTTTTTTTTTTAATCTTGTCAGGTCCTTAAACAACTACCTCCCAAAAAAGATCTCATTGAACTATGTGCCATGTCTGAGAAACAGGAGCAACTATACTGTGACCTCTTGAACAAGTTGAAGAAAACTATTAACAGTAATGGTACATGACAGTCTCGTGTCCTTTTGTTGGATTTTTTTTTCCCATGCCTAGACTTGCATTGAATGTAACTATAAAACCTTTACTCTGTAGAAATGTATTCATTAAGTGACTGTATCCCTTCTGAGAATTTTTCAGAAGTTCAGGTAATAGGTGAAATGTCAAATTCAGTCCTTTTAAATAGAGTCCTCCTGAGAGGTAAAGAAGTATCAAATATATGTGTCCATGTACTATTTTTGAATATACCTTATTCCTTTGTTTACAGAGAAAAATTCTGATATGGGAAACGTAATGATGCAACTTAGAAAAATGGCTAATCACCCTCTCTTGCATCGACAGTATTATACCACTGACAAGCTCAGGACAATGTCCACGCTCATGCTCAAGGTAAGTTGATAAGATTCAGAAGCGATCTATAATTTCTTAGAATTGTTATTGTAACTTAATACTACTTTCATTGTCAGTCCTTTGGTCAAAAGTGCGTCCTTGCAAAACTTAATTCATTGTTGCTGCTTTTTATTTCGCTGTTGCATCTATCCAACGCTCTAATCAGGCTCTGTATGTGTTTAACGTGCTGGTTTTATATCGGATATTAGAATGGAAAGAACAGTTCTGGGACTGCAGTCATCTCCTTTTCATTAGCCTCCCCTTAATAGCTGTTCCCTCCACCCCAGTATTTAAAACTCTGAAATGCTTATGAAAACATCTTAGGAGGGCGGCCGAGTTTACTAGTATTTTGTGAAGGATGAGCAATCTGGGCTGTACAGAACTGAAATAGGGAAGGCATAAGTATGAAACTACTGAGAATTTTTTCCTAGTTTGGCTAGTGCTAATGCCTAGTGGAGTTTGGGGAAAGATGTTGCTTCTTTCTAAAGTACAAAAAACCCCAAGAATCAGAACGTGCGGCAGGTGCTTTGTGAAGTTACAGCTGGCTTTGAGCTTCTATGGTTTTTTTTAAAAATAAAGCCAGTCACTTATGTTGAACCACGGTTGGGGGGAAGGGAAGAAGTCGCACGTTGGTTTATGAAGGATTTTTTTCCCTTTTTTTTTTTTTTTTTTTTTTTGTTCCTACTCATACCATCGTACTCTCCAGATGTGGCTTTTCTTTTCCTCTTTCTTCCAGGCATGACATCCCTCTACCCACCCTACATCTTGGGCTGGGCTTCCCATGTCTTCTACCATCTATCCAAGGATTGGACCTCCCTTTTAGGGAATGTGTCTTCAGGGGAAGAGGTCTGGTACAGGGGTAAAGGCCATAGGGCTTGATGAGTACTAGGTAATGGCTGTGGAGGTAGAACACATACTTAGTTTTTGGTAGCACAAGTTCTTGTAAAAGCTAAATTGTGAAACAACGTTGATCCTCTATCTCCTGTAAACCTGGGGTTGCAGAGTTCATCTTTGATTGCTTGCATGAGCCACGCTCTGGCATTTGTCAATGTCTAATTGCGCTACTGTGTGTGTGTGTGTTGGTTTTTTTGTTGTTTTTTTTTCCAGAAATTTTGGATGTACTTATATGTTTATTTTCTTGTCTTGCTAGCAGGATTATGTATTGCACGATTTCCCTTTATTTTTGCTAATAGGAACCCACACATTGCGATGCTAACCCTGACCTTATCTTTGAAGATATGACAGTAATGACGGATTTTGAGCTGCATTTGCTTTGTAAGCAATATTCTCATGTCAGTGACTTCAAGTTAGACATGGATCAGATTTTGGATTCTGGAAAATTTAGAACGCTGGAACGCATTCTCTCTGATCTTAAGGAAAAGGTTTGTACTACAAATAGTTGGTTGAAACTTCTTATCCTGTCTATCTAATCATTAGCCCTCGATAACTGATTAAACTGATATCTACTAGCAAATAGGTATATATGCAACACAATTGCTTTTTTGTGGAATGTTGCAATGTGATGTAATGCATGTGCAGTATTGCATAGCAATACTTACTGCTTTTAATGCAAAATCCTGCCTGTGTGCTTCATCTTATACACAGTGAAGTTGCACAATTGAAATTAACTTGACCATTTTTCTGTTTTAGAATGTTCATCCTGGGTTAACTCTATTTTCTTAGTATGAGGAGGATAGTACTATCTTCACAGGTGATGAACTTTGCGAGTGTAACTTTCTTTTGGCAGTTGAATAAGACTGTACTGTGTTAAACCACGTATCTTGAGCTATTGTAGGGAACGCAATAGGTTCAAACGGGCCTATTTTACAAATGAACGTGCAGGATAATACTTCAGAGTAAGATCCTGAATTTACACAAGTGTGTGCTGTGGTGCACTTTAAATTATCACTTGTTCATTTGTTTCACACAGCAGGGTGTCACTGTTCTGTATGCTGTGGAAAATAGATTCAATAGTTTTTGAGGAAATTTGTTTTGTTGATGCTTATGGATGGAGTAGGTCTGCCACATTCATGCATTTAACTTGCAGTTTCTAGATTGTTTGAGTCACTTGAGTACAGAGTAGCGAAAACTTTGTGACGCTGAATAAAGCAGGGGGACAATGCAGCAGAATTATTGGATGCGTTGCCTACGCTGAAAGTCAGGCTTGACTTTCTGAACTCTGGCTTAGTCTTGGAGTTCGGAAAAATTAAATCTGACTGATTTTAATGTGATTTGTGCCGATGAAGCATCTGTCTAGTTAGTCATCTTTGATTGGCAAGTTTCTAAACATTTATTGTGCTTTTCCATTTTCAGGGTGACAGAGTAGTATTATTTAGCCAGTTTACTATGATGCTAGATATCTTGGAAGTTCTCCTGAAGCATCGGCAACATAGGTATATCAGGTTGGATGGAAAAACACAGATTTCTGAGAGGTATGTGACTTGCTGGAAGTGAGAGAAGAAATGGATGTGTATACAGAGAGAGGAGGTGACTGAAGACCCTAATTTTTGTTTTCCAATATATAAAACTTTATCATCACTGGGAATTAACTATAGTAGGGGTTCAGTGTTGGCTTTCAGATTATCTAAGTAAGGATGAGGCTGAAAGTAAGTTTAGCTGATCCATTTGGGTGTGCTACAGATAATTCGAAAACTTGTGTCTTCTGCAGTCCACGTGTATGTTTGTGATCTGCTTGTGCTAGCACAACACAGCAAGACCTTGCCTGCAGGCATTCCTTCAAAGTATAGTATTTCTCCCTTAGTAGAAAGGTTAGCCCCTTTATCTTTCTGGGGCAAGCCACATACTCTCACAGCTGAAAATGTTGTAATTGTTTTCTCTTATTTCAGCTGTGCTGGTTTTCTGCTGTTGCCTGTTCCATAGTTTTTGAGATACTTTTCCTTCCTTTCAAAAGCTGTAGTTCTTGCTGTGGTATTACTTCTTCTGTGCAGCTGAAGTCGCTGCTTCTCCTTCCTTTGTACGTGCAGATAGTACCGAACGCAGTCATGAAGTTGTTAATTTCTCCTTCTGCCCTTAAATCTACTTCATGTACTTCATTCCTCCCTCCTGCATCAACTTGTTCCTTGTATTTTATGGTGACAATCCAAAATCTTTTTCCAAGTCTCACTTTATTCTTTGCTCTCAATCTGTCACTCTAGAGGTATGGTTTTCTGGTCACTGCTGAGGACCGTTGGTACGCGTTTTCCTTCTGCCTAAAGTCTGCACTTCTGTGTTGCTTTGCAAAGCCACAGTCCTCCTTTTCAAAACATTGTCATCCTAACTTCTGTGTTCAGCTCTGGAGCCTGAATGTTGTTTTCTCTGAGGCCTGATACGTATGTTCTCATGTTCTGTAGGATACATCTGATAGATCAGTTCAATACAGATATGGGTATATTTGTGTTCCTCCTGTCAACCAAAGCTGGTGGCTTGGGAATTAATCTGACCTCAGCAAATGTTGTTATTCTTCATGACATTGATTGCAATCCGTACAATGACAAGCAAGCAGAGGATCGATGCCATAGAGTAGGTCAAACGAGGTAAGGTTTCTTAAATGTCATGCTTGTTTTAATTGGAGGCAAGCCCTCAAAGGATGTGAAAAGGAGGGCAATATTTTATGATTAAAAATTTCATTTTAAGCAGGGACTTGCTGGTAAACCAACTCCGGGTTGCGTGAGCTAGGTAATTGTAATAATCTTAGCTCAAAAAGCTGACAGAAGGAACCTGTATTTACTGTATTCTACTCCATTTTCCAGTTCTTCAGAGCTTTCTCAAATTTCTAGTGGTAGGAGCTGACTGACTTCAAGGCAGCTGTAAAGCCTTTGGAAATGTTTGACGATGCTATTTGTTCTCTTCAGAAGACTTTAAGCTCTCAGATGGCCAGCCTATAGTAAAGAGTGAAAGACTGATCTGTTCCACAGTTTTCAGGAGTAAGCTAATGTGAGCCATTGAATGTGTTTAGTACCAGTTATTTCAACTGTAGTATGGCGGGGTCGGGGGGAAGAGGTCATTATTTTGGTTGATTTTGAAGATTTTGAAGCTCTTCAGATTGTTTGAGGTGGCTAAGAGTGCAGGGGAAGACCAGTTTTCTGGCAGTGCAGAGCACAGTTGGTACAGATGGAAAAACTGGAGCTCTAGCATTGCCCTCTTTTGTTTTCCTCCTTGTTTTAAACTAGTGCCAGCTGAGCAAAGGCACAGATCCTGCCCATTTTCACTCATCCAAAGACACTGTAAAAATGGATTTATCCTATTTTGTGGTTTTTAGAGAAGTACAAGTCATAAAACTAATCAGTAAAGGGACTATTGAAGAATCCATGCTCAAAATCAGCCAGCAGAAATTGAAGTTAGAACAAGATATGACCGCAGCTGATTCAGGTAAGTCTGTTGCACATAACGATGCCCACTTAGGTGAGTTAAGAAGGTCTCTGCAATGTATTTTATTCTGAAAAAACTGGGTTCTTCGTGCAAATAAACCAATAGTGTTTAACTGCAAATGAAGTAGAAAGATGCACTGTACTGGTCAGTTTAACTTGCTGCAATTCTATTAATTGTCAAACTGTTTAATTTGACAGAAAGTCTCCCCTGAGTTTGACCCACAAATCAGTGCCAGACTCCTTACTAGTAGAGGCTTCTCTACAAATTTTTAAGTGTAGAGTTTTGTCAATCTATGTGAAATACTTAATACTGTAATAATGCAGCTTTTTTCCTTTTTCCTCTCCTTTTCTGCAGGAGAAGAAGGGACCATTCCAGCAGATATAGCCACATTATTAAAAGCTTCATTAGGTCTCTAAAATGTAAATATGTTGTAGAATTTAAGGAAAAAAGGCAATGTTGTACCCCAAGGACTCTTACAGTACTGATGACCATGAGTTTTATGAACATTTATAACTTTTTGTAGTTTCTTTATTGTATTTCTCATGGTATTGACAATTTTTAACACTGAGAGCATTCTTTTTGATGCTTAAAAACAAAAACAAATGGCACAAATATAGTGGATCAGATGCCAAATAAATGCTGTTTTACAGAGCGGTTTTCAAAATGGGGACCTGAGTAGTGATTATTTCAACAGATCTGCTACTGCTTAAGATTCATCAGTATTTTTGTAATTATTTCTACCTCCAAATATATATATATATATATATATAAGCATATATATAAACTGTCTGTTTCACTGGATTATGTGTGTAGATTTTTTTTATTTGTGCCTTATTTGACAATGCTTGAGTCTGTTTCTGCTTGTTTTGGTTCATTTGATGTACTGTACTGGTTTTGTATCAATTTTGTTCAAATAAAATTCCATAGATTAATGAAGTGTGTTCATTTTGTGGTTATTGGAGACGGGGGAAGGAATTGTAACTTGCAGGTTAGAAATAAAAGAAGCAGCTTTCAAACTAGCTAAAATGCTCCATTTGAACTGACCTGGCTTTATCCAGTAGTCATTTATTAGTAATCTTTCGTTATAGTCAAATCAAAATTGTGCTAGAGTACTGGTCACAAAAGTGGAGAGTGCTGTTTAGGAGGAACTCCGCACAGGTTAAGATTTCTTTTTTTTTTTTCATTGGTTTCTGGTGTAGGTGGTGAAAGCCCAGCTCTCCCCTCTGCTAACGAAGTCTCGCTCTCTTCTTGAAGAATTCAGTGAGTTTTGAGTTCTTTTCAGTGAAATGAAGAGCCTCAGTGGCATGCCTGCGCTTCCACTGAAAGCTTTTAGTCTGCTTGTTGGGATGTGATTTGAGTAGGTAGGAGATAAGGAGGTGTGCTTGCGCCTTAAGCTTATAATCTGCTGGTTAGGACATTATTTGGAGGGGCAGAAGATGAGGATGCCAGTTTCCTTGGACAGAGGAAGACTAAACCTTAAGTCTCTTGCACTCTGAGTAATGAAGATTTAGACTCTGTTTTTGGAAGCTGGGGGAAGGCAGAGTATGGGGACCTCCTTATTGCACTTGCTGCGTGTTAAAGCTTCAGCTGCAGTTTGCTCTGTACAGAGCTCGGCAAATCCATACAAGGCTGAATCGCTGAGGATTGTTTCCTCAAATTCATTCTGGCTTGTGATTTTTGGGTGGGTGCTTTAGCTACTTAGCAGCTACAATGCTGATGTAATCCTGGGTATATTGGAGAAGATGAAACAGGAGAAATTTGAAGGACAAAGAATGAGGTGGCTATCAAGTTTTGAGACAGCTGTGGGAATAGGTGGAAGCCGAGGTAGGATTTTAATATCACAATTTTTCCTTTGTGCCAGAGTTTTTTCTGTCATCTCAGGTGCCTCTGGGCTTTCTAACAGTAAGATACTTGTTGCTTATTTTGGAGGAACTTAACTTGAAAAGTTTTATATGAAGAGTGGGGAATGAGGAGTTGAGAGGGGGACCGAGGTTCAGAGCGAGCGCACAGAAGTGGCATGGATGAAATATTCTTTGTTCAAAGAGCCTAGTTTTCTAGTCTGTATTTGCTCAGTGTTTCAGCGTGTCTGTGGACACTGCTAGTGATTTGTCAATGAGGTAGTCTGCGAAGTGGGTATCTGTTCTTATTTTGGTTACGGCTGTGGGTCTCTCTCCCTGCCCCCCAAGTGTTTTCCCCCAGTACAAAATTGATAGAAAGTGAAAGCTTTTAAAAGTGTGCTTTCAAAGTTCAAACTAAGTTTAACCTGGCTGTTAATGGGAATCATCTGACAGTGTTGCATATTTCAAAATGCATAGCTGAAATAGGATGAAGACATGTTTCGTTATACGGGAATGTCAGCTCCGTTGCGCTGGCGTGTGGGAGAATCAGTTTGTCTAGCATGTTTTTTTATTTCCGCCTATTTTATTGGATGAAGCAGACAACTGCAATAGCTGTTAAAGCTATTGCAGTTAGAGTTGTTGTTTTCAGCTGTGGATGGTCCTAATTCAGTTCTTATTGCATTGTATTTGCATGTTCTTAGCTATTTGTTTCAAATGCAAAATAAAATGCTTGCCATAGAGACTGTTTTGGATTATATTTGCCTGGTATGTGCATGTAATCAGTTAATGCAGGTCAACTGAGCAGTGCTTATTTCTAAAGCAATCACATCTCTAGACCCCCAGAGTCAATATACTGGTGTTTCTGGTGTTTCTAGCTTATTATTGTTTACTGTTTTTCTGTTTCTGCTTCAAATTAATTGGGAGTCATACGAGGGGAGGGGGGGAAAGTAGGCAGTATTGGTTGTGATATGAGGGTCAGAGAACAAAAATGGCTCAGTGGTGGCCTAGTTACCTCTAGGGAAATTATTGTTAATGAAAATAAATAGATGCTTCAGCTCAAAAAGGAATTGGGAATTCAGTTTTTGTTCTGCTAAATAATCTTCAGTAAACTCTGCCATCTTTTTTCCCTATAGGCAGAATAAGTGTACCGTTTGTTTTTTTTTATACACTGCTTTTGCAATCTGCAGATGCTATTAGCAGTACAGTGTTAGAAATTCCCAGGCTCAGGGCTTAACAAAAATACCATATGTGTCTTACCTGACGTGTGTATTATCAGGTGACTCTAGGTAGCAGGTCTGTAACGGAGAGGTGAGGTTCCTTTCCTCCCTATGTGTTTCCCTGTATGTGTAACCTGGTTTGGAAGGAGGTATAGGAACTAATAAGTTGAATTTAATTAAATAAGCTAATTTTAATGCTCTGCTCTGTTTGAACAATGAGGAAATGAAATAACGTCTGCAACGGAAGCTCAGTTTTATCTAGCTAGTCTGAAGAAAATGTAGAAGTATAGCAAATGGAAATCCCCCAAAACCAGGGCATAGTAATTTTTAAACTTCTCTGAGTTTTGACCAGGGCCTGAATGCTAAGGAAACAGTGGCTAGGTAATGAAAGGTAGCCTTTAAATCATTGTTTATTTGTCTGAGTGCGGTAAGTAGTTCCAGAATGCTGCAACAGCTCTGTAAGTCAGCTTGCCTCCCAGGCACAATGTGCTTTAAGTCAGAGTATCCACTAAGTGGAGCTTTAAGAAAAGAAAGAGTACTTGTAATGGATGAAACTAAATGGTCTCCCTTGGGCTAGGATTGCACCCTCAATCCCTTATCTAGTTTTGCCAAGATTCCCTTGGGGAAGGTCTTGCTACTCAGTTTCATCAGGTACTTGTGTCTCTGGTTGGGAAAGAGGTACAGAAAGAAGACCTGCAACTATCTGAAGTCTATTGCTGAAGAAGAGAGGAGAGTGGAAGCTGAAGAAGGAAAAATGTGCAAAGAGCTAGAACAGACTGCAAAAGAAGTTGCAAAAGCAAGTGGAGATTCCATATTGAAAAGACCCAAAGGTCGGACCTTTCATTTCTGCCAGTACCTGGTTAGTCTCTGAACTGTTTAATGGCTGGTTGTTGTTACTCATGTTCTTCTCAGTGAAATAATACTTAAAAGATGGGAGAGGGAAAGCAAGTGTTTAGGAACAAGGCTAGTTTCCCATAACTGGCCATTTTCAGCTCTGAGGATTACCCAAGTCTGTTGTGATATATCTACCTACTAGTCACAGGGGAGTCTCTCTTCCAAGTGCTTGTTTCCCCTTGAATTCACAACGGCTGCTCTCATCTGCAATGGTCCTTGTTGTCAGAAGCTCCACGCATCGGTTTTCCCTATTGCTGGAAGAACAAGCTTGCTTGCTTGTTTTAAACCTAGCTTTCACCACAGCCCCTGTTTGACCCCTGCTTGCTAGAAGAGATGATGAGCAGCTGAATGCTTTTGCAGCTGGTGTGCTTATGGAGAAGGACTGCTGGTGTGGGGCAGCTTGGCTGGGCACCTGCTTTTTCTGCAGTGGCATAGCAGGAACTGCAAGAGGTCAAAGAAGGTGATCGAGAAGCTTGAAGTCCATTGACTAAGCGTGATATTTTTGTTGGGTTTTTTTTTTTTTTTTCCAGGGCCTGAGTGCAGAAGCCTGTTGTGTCTGTAGCAGTGGGGACCTTAGGAATGAGTTTTCGAGGAATAATTTGCTATCAATGCAATTTTAGCAATATATTTACCTTGGGCATAAGAGTGCTAAAAAGGTCCAGACACCTGCAGCATTCTGCACATATCTCGGGATGTAACAGTGAAGTGGTTTGAAAATCACCTCCTTTGCCTCATGTCTTTAGCCCTCCCACTCATAGGCCCTCTGTGAACTAGCCTGGCTTCCTCCAGCGCTGAATGCCTACAACAAGGATAAAACACTGTTGAGATGACAGCTGTCCAAGCAAATTGCTTCCTCCCTCTCCCCCCGCCCCTTTCTGAAAAGCCACAGAGCATTATTTGGGTTGGTCATTTTTCTCACTTTATTTATAGTGAGAGAGATGGAGGTGGAACCACACTTGTCCCCAGGTTCTACTCTACTAAGTCAGTTTTTTTTTATTCTGTCATGAACGCATATAAACAAGTAGATTGTGGGTCAAGTATAGCATATCCATCTGAAATTTATTGAAATGATTCTAAAATTAATAACTTATGACACTTGTTAATTGTGATGTTAAAATCTAAACATGCATTTGTTTGGGGTTTTTTCCTAGGTCTAAACAGGTGATTTACATAATTGTCTTTGGTCTTTTCTCGATCCAGGCCGCGATAGCAGGAAGCGCTTGCACTCTGTCTCTGAGAGCTAAAAGCCTGGGGTAGCTGTCTGCCAGGTCAGGTTTGCAGGACAGGAGTGTCGTACTGCACACATCCCAGTAGAAATCAGCCCATGTTACCTGGTGGAAACAAGAGATGGAGAGAGAAAGCAATAAATAAACTGGTAACCTCAAAAGGTCAATTGGTCTGTTTCTTGCTAAGTTGCTGACAATTGTTGACAATTACAGAGCTAGCAATAAGGTTGTAATGCAAGGCCTAACATGATTAAGAATGGGTTAAATCAAGTTCTTACTACAAATATGAATTGCATTGTTACATCTTTCAGGCAGAATCTGTGCTGCAGAGAAGTGTCTTCATTTCTAAAGTTTGGGTTTAAAAAAAAAAAAAAGGGTTTAATTTCTTTCATTTTTGATGTTGTCCTAAAATGGGAACAATGATTCTAAGCTGAGTTCTAAACAACTTCCAGTGACTAGTACAAAGATGTGCTGTGTCAACATGCCTATAAATTGGCTTGGTAAATTCCCTTTCCAATGGCACAGAAAACCGTTTTTGTTTTGTGATTGAGGCAACGAGGGTATTGATAAAAACAAGGAACTGAAAAGAGCGGTAGTTGTTTTACAAGATTTTTTTTGTAGGATGGCATGAAATCCCCAAATTGACCAATAGTCAGTTATTTTGCTTTACTGGCAACCTGATTGGAATTGGAGAAATAAACCAAAAATATACTTACGGATTTTCCTACCAGCCAGTTGTTATCCCCTAAGAAAGTATCCAGGTGTTTCAGTAACTCCGGTGCTTGGTTGGTGAAGATCTCATTAAATGCTTGTTTCTGGGGGGAAGAACAGAACATACCCCCCCCCCTCGCATGTAAGCGCAGAAGTCATCAAAATGGGATTCTTGGGGATTTCTTCTTTATGAAAAAGATGTACCATAGAAAGAAATATGAAAAAGATGGCAATGGATTCCTTTGGTCTGACCCAAATTTTAGAGCGGAGAGTACTATCCTCTCTGGTGGAGGAAGGAATGTGTTGACTTACAAGTAAGGATTAAGAAAACAAACCTAGCAATTATTTAAAACAAGCAAGTAAAGAATGGAGAGGTAGGTGCAGAGGGGCACTAGGAAACGGGAGAGCTGAGGCCGCTACCTGTGCAATACATTCTGTGCCCAAAAGACGCAGCATTTGTGTGTCTCAGGGAGCAGTGCTTCAAGCCAGTTGCTCCCTTAGTGTTATCTCAGGAGTGTCTCGGGGCTCGTACGTACACTCTGATATGATGGACGTAGCTGGGCCAGTCATTTTTCTGTGATAACAGCCACGCAGCTGCTGCAAGGCACAAGTCTGCCATGGGTCTGGGAAGAACTTCTTTGTAAAAGAAACTGTTCCTAACTTAACATGGCCTTTTTTTGGCCTTAAGCACAAGGGCTTTTCTCTTTTACATGTTGATATGCGTTATACTGTAAAGTCGTTCGAATCCCTCAAATCCCCTAAGCCATCTTCTTACTGCTGTGCACTGACACCTGTGTGAATAACATCCCTCAGGTTAATGGGGTATTGGGTTAAAAAGCATTTTCTTTGTCAGTTACTGACAAGCTGACGTCCTCTGGAAACGGGGCCGTGCAGCTTAGTTCTGCTCTACCGTCTTTGATGATGTTCCCTCCCAAAGAGAGTTGGGGAGTTTGAGTCCTCTGATCGCTTTCACTGTTCAGTTCTGGAGTGCTGGAAGTAATGAAGCCTTTCGTTGTCTAGCCCCAAGGTTGTCGAGTTCACTGCTTAATAAAGACGTTGGCCGCTTGCTTTTCCTTATCAGCCCTTTTCATGTGAGACGTGGAACTTGGATTTTGAGCTTGTACCAGATTTATCTTCTAGCTTTGATGTTAGCAGGTTATTTATTCACCATTTTTGTCTCCTCGCAATGAGATTTGAGGTGCTTAAAATATATGGGTTTGAAGGCTAACATCCATATTGAAGGATATAGGGCCCTAATAGTTGTATATTAACAGAATGCCTGATAAGACTGTATGTGGTGGTGTTCTTCACCCAGGTCTTGCCTGTAGTGGAAGATTTTAACACCACTCATAAAGGTTTAGCTGTTTCCTTTGGACATAAACTTTCTGTGGTGTGGTGGTGGTGGTTGTGGGTGGTTTTTTTTTTTTTTTTCTTTTCTTTCTTACCCTTGTGGAAGAGATTGAGATGCCAAAAAGCACTGCACCTGTTGTGATTATCTAGTCAGATCTGTGTGGCACAGTTTGTGCAGTTGCAGCTAATTCCTATTTGACCTGAACTTGGAGAAGCACGTTCAGGTGAAGTTGGACTTTAAGTCCATGTAGTAATGGACTTATTTCAACAGCTTTGAAATTCAGGTTAAGGAGAAAAGGTAAAATGTTGAAGAGAGAGCAGCTTAAATGCTTCCAAAAGATGCAGCCTGGAATAAAGTCAGTATCTCTGCAGACCTGTTTGAAGACTTGATGTATTTTTCCACTGTCTGGTAAGCCCTTTTTGGGGAGTGCAGGGCAAGAAGATGTGTGCATGCCACAAATCAAGATGCCATGGGCCGATTCCCTGTGTTTCCTTGCTTATTTTTCTTCTGGCTACTGGCTGGATATATTATGCACCTTTTAAAACCGTCTCTGAAGGATAGATGGTCCTGTAATCGTTGTCAGGTTTGGGGAAGTTTTCTGACTTTTATGCTTTGCTGTGTGTAAATTATTTAAATCTCTCAGTGTTAGAACGTCCATTAGACTGCGCTTCTACCACGAGGTGGTGGCAGTGGACGCAGGAGGAGAAAGGAGAACGGCTGATACTGACTTTGAAAAGGTTAGAAGCTCCGAGATAATAAGTTTCTAGTTCTGTGGCCCGAAACACTCTCGCACACAAACGTGCGTACAGGCATATAAGGGTTGCCTGTGGACTCTCTTCCCTTTTATATTAAGCAATGGTGATATGATCTGGGTCCTTGATTTTGGAGAAGTGCTTAATTGTGAACTGTGACGCACCCGGCCAGTATCATGGCAGTTTCCCTTTCTGTAAGGGGATAGCTATGACACTGGTAGAACTGTTGTGGTAACGGCGTTCTAGCAATAGTACTGTTGTTCCTGAGTGTTTAGAAATCATGAGGCGGCCTCCCCTCCCTGCATCAGGAAACTGAAAGAAGTCACTTGGAGATAAAGTAATTAGCATCTCTGAATACTAAAACTTCAAAACACGTTTTCAGGTATCCCCTGAAAGATTTTAGGGCACTTGTGTATAATTTTCTGTTATGTTAACGTTTTGTACTCGTGGTTTCTATAATACAATACCCTAGTCTAACTGAAACGTTATATGTGAATAAATGGAAGGTGGTTGCACTGACTGTTAATGGTTAGAAGCGTTGTTATGCTAAATCTTTCATAAAAGACCCAGGTTTTCTCTTTGGATCAGAGCTGAGTAGAACTGTTGTGACACTGCGGTTAAATTATCCTTTACCCTCTTTGCTGAACAACTAATTTGCATGCTTACATTGGGGGCTCTGATGAGTTAGTAGGGTAATAGACTGGAATGACACTGACAATCCTAAGTGGTCTAGGACTTGCCTGTGACTGTGTGTTAAAGTATCCATGGGGGCCTGTTAGGCTGGGCATCAGTTTTTACAGAAGCGCCACAAAGGACTGAGGTAGGGCCACGGGGCCCTGAAGAGCACGGCCACAGTGAGGGACATGCTACCTTGCCTCTTATCAGTATGCAGAGTCTTGCATTGCTCTGGCAATTGAAAAGCATTTGTCTGTGGCAGCTAATGTTGTTGAAGAATGATACTCGTTAACTGCCGTGAAGAAATCAAGATGTACAAGCACAAGAGATAAGATAGTTAAGCTATCCTAGCTTAACTGAGCTGCTAATCCTTTTGACTTAACAGAAATAAAGATTTTTAGCTTAGTTTGTTTGGCTATGGCAAGATGGTGGGATGGAAGTGTCCTGTCTTTCCCCTTTGAATAGTAGTTTGACATATACACATGCGGCATCCTTGATTAAAGGTGAACCGGTGAGGGGCAGATCGTGATGGCCTCATCATTGTCCCTACTGAGGGAGAAAATCTGGTGAAGGAAGAGGTGGAAGGGAGCAGAAGGCCTTGGTTGGATTAGCCTGGAGGAAGAACCATGGACTTCCTCCAGCAGAGTTTTGCTGAGGTGGCAGACCCAAGGATTAGTATGTGGTTGTCACTCCAGAGGAGGTGCTTAGGTATGCACTTGTTGCTTATGTGGTATCTTTGTTTAAATTAGTGGTTGCCTTACTCTCACATTCTGGTTTTTCTCTGTCCAAGGGAACAGCACCATGAAATCATCTATGGTGTCCACAATGGCATCAGCTAGTGCCTGTTCCACAGGAGTCTGACCTGCCAGACCTAGGAGAAGCAAACGTACAAAGTAAGATTAGAGATAGCACCACCCCAGAGGTAAGCTCTGTTTTTTGTGCACAACTCCATACAAATACGTGCTCTCCATGGCTTTTTTGGTACTCACAATATGCTTTTGACTCCTGACATCCAGATGCAATTTCATCTCTGTGCTTTTCCACCTCTAGCCATCAGTGGTAATGCATTGTTTTTTCCATCACCCAAACTCGCCTGGCTACTGCTTTTTAAATCCTTCTCTCTGCTTTTCACCATCCAGAATGTCCAGTAAGGGTCAGCACCAATTCCTCTGTGTTAACCTTCCCTTATACCAACTCTCAATGTTGTTCTCCCTGTTGTGGCCTTGTCATCTTGCTC